TAACAAACAGCATCAACATAACTTAGCCAATGCAACTGTGAGTCAGGAATCTTACCAAATTTGTCACTCTTCTGGCATGTGTATAAATAAATACATGCTACTACAGAACAGATCTGTGCTGCACAAGGAGAAAAGTAAGGGAATAGAATGGACTAAACTTCTTTAGGCTGCTACATTACAAGTAATGGTTTACATGTGAAATACGTATTTTATATTTTAATGCAACATCCAGACAATTTGGCCAAAGAATCTATTTTTCTTCTGGAAGGAGCAGCAAAAGCAAAAGTCTTGAAGGATGCCAAGAGCAGGAAAGCCTCAACATGGGGAGGCCTATTTGATGTTTCTTCTTCACTGATTAAATTTGAAATTGTTCCTACGGAACTCCAGATAGAAATGCAGACATAAGCAAATGCCTATATAACCCCCAATCACTCCAGAGTCAGGCAATTCACAAGAACACGCTGTACCGTCCTAGGCAGTCCAGAATCTTGGTAGGAACTATGGCTGAACCATTCCTATCCCAAGGTATTTTATGCTTCTGAAAGGTTTAACAAAAATGTTAAAAGAAAAATTGATCTGGGTGAAATGGTAGCAAAGGTATGTATCACAGCGTCCCATTCTATGCCATTGTGTTGAAATTCTTTGAACTTTCTAAGTTGCTGCTGCCAGTAATAGAATACTTTTTCATTTATTTAATGCATGAAATATTAATGTATATTTATGTTCTTGCCAACTTTTTTTCCTGGCTAATCCACTTATAATCTTCAACAAGTCATCAAGACTGACTAAAGTTCCTAGTCCAAAAACTTGACTAGACATACTAAACGTGCCAGTGACTAAAGAGATGGTTATAGTATTCTACAAAGTGTTTATATTAAAAAATAATATCCATAGTATTATTAATTATTTCCTTAAGCTACATTAACTCATTTGAAGTAGTCTCTCATCATGTCAAAGCTACAATATGGTTTAATTTGAAGTCTGCTATATGCTATATAAGGGACGCAGTGGCTCAGTGGCTAAGACGCTGAGTTGGTCGATCGAAAGGTTGGCAGTTCAGCAGTTTGAATCCCTAGTGCCGCGTAACAGGGTGAGCTCCCGTTATTTGTCCCAGCTTCTGCCAACCTAGCAGTTCGAAAGCACATAAAAAATGCAAGTAGAAAAATAGGGACCACCTTTGGTGGGAAAGTAACAGCGTTCCGTGAGCCTTTGGTGTTTAGTCATGCTGGCCACATGACCACGGAGACATCTTCAGACAGTACAGGCTCTTCAGCTTTGAAACGGAGATGAGCACCACCCCCTAGAGTCGGGAACGACTAGCACATATATGCAAGGGGAACCTTTACCTTTATATGCTAGTATTCTATTTTCTCTATTTTAATAGATCTTTAACTAAAAGAAAGCAATTTATAAAAGTTTAACTATTTTTTAATAAATGTTGGGAGGTTAGGAACAAAGATGATACTTAAAAATACATTATTATCTTTTTACCCAAGGTATTTTTATATGATATCATAATTTTATTTTGCTATGAATTCTCAGAATGGTAACAGGGTGAAAGAAGAATGAGATTGCTTATACTAAAAAGAAAATGAAGACATTTTATATGACAACTACAAGGACAAATTGACCAGCTTAAAAGAACCAGTTGTAAATATCTAGTTCTTTTTTCTTTTGGAAACCTCTGTGAAAGATTCCTGCTCCTCATCTTCTAAACCCATGGCATCTGTACATGGAAAAGTTCCAGAGAAATCTCATATATCTGCTGTTTATCATTTTAAAGGCTCCTTGGTATAAAATGACTGCAAATGTTTCAACCGTTCCCCAAAGTATTATATTTAAGTGGAGAAAGAGGCCTACCTAAAGATTTGCTGATTCTTGCAAAATGGCAGACATGCCTATCCAAATCTGAACCAATACTTACTTCATTTTAAGAATGTGGTGTTTCAATCATATGCAAATATATAAAAACACAAAAATCAAGATGGAAGCCTCAAAATACAAAGTAAGTTAGAAAACTATTCTTTACAAACACATCACATCTGTCACACTTAAGGCATTTTAATAAGCAAAATAGTGTGTGAGCATCTGGATGTAGTTGATCAACTTCATGCAGTATAAATAAAATAATAACAGATATAATCAGCCAAGAAGAAAATGAATGATGCCTCCTTTAAAAAAAAAAAAAGGAAACATAGCAGGAAAGCATTTAAACTCTTGACTTCCTTACCACACAAATATTTAATAAAACACATTCCAAGTGGCATGTTGAATGATGTATCCATGTGCTATTCTGCTTAGTTCATTCGTAACTCTTATACTTGTGATAATTTTATATATTTGATTTTTTTTGTAAAATGATGTATTTGGATCATTTTTATATACTGGTGTTAAATTGGTATCATATGCTCCAAATATGAAAAGTTCAAAGTTAAATAATATAAGAAAGAAAGAAAGAAAGAAAGAAAGAAAGAAAGAAAGAAAGAAAGAAAATAAATTATTTGGAGTTATTAATCTCATCAGGTACCAACTAAATGAGTGGAACAGGAGTTTATTTTCAAGAAGGTTGATTCTGGAGAGAGGGATTTGAAAAGAAAAGTAGCAGGGATGAGAACAAGAATGCTATATCAGCAGAACTGATAAATACTCATAAGGAACGCTGAGTGTTGTCATAGGGAGGCATCAGGGAAGAACAGGAAGCTAATAGAGGTCATCCTTGACTTATAACCACAATGTAGCCCAAAATTTCTGTTGCTATGTGAGACAGCTGTTAAGCAAGTTTTGCCCCATTTTATGACCTTTCTTGCCACAGATGTTAAGTGAATCGTTGCAGTTATTAACATCTTAATATGTGAATATGCTGCCTTCTTGGTGGCTCTAGGCTCCTAAATCAAGACTGCCATAATCACCCTGAACAAGAAACAATGGGCATGGTTTCTCAGCTCCATTCTAGCTGAAATGCATAGGTTTTGTCCAGTTAGCTGCCTCATCAAACTGAAACTTTTAATAAACTTCACTGTTTGGCATTCCAACTGATTATTTGATATTAATCCAATAACACTATTTCACTCCAGCTAAAATACAGAGATGGAATGTTATGGCCATACAGTAACACAATTCTGTATTTTCAGTTCTAATACATGGTTAGCTACATTTTCAAGAGTTCCAAGACAGAGGTTAACATAATTCAACATTATATACTGATATATATATTTTTGAACACATACTTTCTTGAAGGAAAAAAGGAAAACATGGGGTGGGGTGAGGTAGGTTGCCATTTTTCCAATTTGGCTCATAATTTAGAAATAAAAACGAGATGGAACTTGGAGGAAAATAAATTATGCTTCTTACATAGTCTACCACTGAAAGCAAGGATTTCAAAGTACTTCCAGCCATCAGGGCGGGGAAATCCTTCTGCAAGGAATTTTTTGTGTCAGCTAATGAACAACAGGTTGTTCTAAACTGTGTGAAAATGCTGTACAGACACAGCCTCAGAGCAAATAGCCCTTTGACTAAGAACAAAACTAAACAGATCTGTCAGGTGCTGGAAGTTCTGAGTGACATTTAAACCAGCATTCCATTTTTTGCATTAAAAACAGCATTTAACACAACAAAAAGTTTCCATCAAGTAATTCACCTAACAATTTCACCTAACACATTTAATTTCTAAGGATCTTTTTAACTTCAATTGACAGCAGGGTAATTAGACTATATATACTAATAGGTTCTGCTTTTCAAACTGATTCCAACCTTGTCTGTCTTTAAATCTGGGAAATAGACTGTGCAGTAACTTAATATTCCTTCAGGATTTCTGGAACAGTGGCAGTAAATGATTATGTCTATTTAGTAAATCATGTGATGTTTTTAATTTCTTCATATTTCATCGTCTTCCTTTTCTACTACATTCTCCTTATGCAATTAATATTGAAGCTCATTTCAAATAACACTAAAACAATACGGAATACTTGTGATCAAACAGAACCTCAGTGTTAGTATGTCTGTTTTTATTATAACCAAATATTTCGTGAGACTGCAGCCTGCCTAACTTGCTATGCATTGAAGTCAATCAGGACCATTTCCTGATTTTCAGTTTCAGTTCATTAGTGTAAAAAGGAAAGTCAACTTCATTTTCAGTTTTAGAATTTAGTATGTCTTCTTGGGATGAATATATCAGTAATACATGTAGTGGCTACCAAATATTATTTCCCTATAGGACCCAATTCTACATGAGGAGAACTAGAGAAAGGACTGCAATGTTGATATCCAGCATGTGCATGAAATGTGAACCTGGTCTCTTATTCCATGCCAGAATAAATGGAACCCAGTTCCTACTTTTTAAGTAACAAACTTTGTAAGAAAATCGTGCAAGGAATAAAGCATAGGTCGGTTATCATTATGCCCTAACACAGTGATGACGAACCTTTTAGGCACTGAGTGCCCAAAGTGCACACGGGCACCCAAACTGTAAGACATGGGCACATGTGCTACTGCACCCCACGCATGCGCGCGCACCCCACACATGTACGGCAGAGACCCAAAGATCAGTTGGCCTGTGGGAGGCACGCACACATGCACACAGACCCGAAACAGAGCTGGGACGACAACACGCGTGCACACAGAGAGGGCTCTGCGTGCCATCTCTGGCACATGTGCCATAGGTTCGCCATCACTGCCCTAACACATCACCTAGGAGTCACTACCTTGTTAAAAGTTGCACTGATCTTCCTTTCTATTCACTTTTGTCCCAACTGCACTACTCAGGATAGTATGAACCTTGTTGGAACAAAAGTCTCAGTGTTTACAGGCTGGAATGAAACTGGGATAAACACTAGGAATTAACAAATTACACCTTTGTGTTATTACTGGGAAAAAAAATTTCTGGGGAAAATGTTAAACACATTGTACCTTTTTTTCTGAATAGGCAAATATTACTGCACAGTTTTGCCTATTTCTCTCTTGAAATATGTCAAATATTGACATCAGCATGAAAAAACAGTTACCTCATTGTCAGTTCCCACATCGAGCATAACGGGCAGACACTCCTGGGGCTTTACTCCTCCACACGCTGTGTAAAGTGCTAGTTTACCCACCGGGATACCCATTCCATAACAACCTAGGTCTCCAAGGCCAAGAATACGTTCTCCGTCAGTCACCACAATCGCCTGTGGAAAAGTATGGTAAGCATTATAAAACTGCAAAGATATCCTGAATTTTTTGTTATGATCAGTTTTAAGCTCTGTCATGATATTAATATTTTCCAAATAATATGAATGAATGAATGAATGAATGAATTACTGCATTTTTAAGGCCATTATTAAAGTAAATAAATCTTTGGTCAATCAATTATATGGGCTAAGTGAATTCAATCAATAAATGAGAAACAACACATGACAAACAAAGTGAGCACGCTAGATTCCCTTTAATGATGCCCTTTTATTAATCCTACTAATAAAAGAGAACAAGGTTTTTTTTAACAGTTTTCCTTTCCCTCCTGCTATTCCAGAGAGTTGCCTATTCTCCCAGAGCAGATTTGGCAGAGAATACAAGACAGTGAAAGAAATGGGCAAACATATATTTTTTTAAATTTGTCAATAGCCTCACAAATATAAAATATATTTTTGATAAAAGAAAAGATACCAGTGGGTATAATTTTCTTCCTTAAGGGTTTAGATAAAGCAAATAAAAATGTAACTCTCTGGTACAATGTGTGTGTTTAAGACAACAATTGGCATCTGCAGTTTCTACTGCCCAATTCATTGGAGAGTTCTGGCTAATGATTTCTTTTTAATAGATGCTCTAATGAATTCGTTGTTGAAAAATTGCAATAACTTGCTGTGATGCAAAGAGGAAAAAACTTAGTAATCCTGTTACTTAAACAATCTATGTGATTGAACATGAATAGCCCAGCACCATAATCCTGAACATTTGCACTAAAAAATGTAACTGTTTAACACATTGTTTTAACTCCTCTGAGTAATGATTCATTCTTTGTGATTTACATTTCCATCTCTGAGTAATGATGCAGTGCTATTTCCGAGTTTTTTTTTTCCAATTTAAGAATTTAATTTCTGACAAAAGGCTATTGATTATCAACCAATTAGGTATAGGGAGCCTTTATCAGACCAACTGTCACATTAAAGTCCCAGGGACACATCCTGTGGCAGCATGCAGCCAGCCCCTTCATTCTCCCTTCCTCTTTCATGTAACAATTCTATATTAATAATTTCATCTCCTCAAATTGGCATCTACCCATAGATTATCCCCCATTGCTTTTCATATTTACAGAAAAGGAATCCTGCACAGGCACTTCTGTTTTCAGAAATGTCCAAAATGTTGAAATTTGAAGATGTTTTCTTTTACCTAGTAAAGCCTTCTTTCTCCTTTTATTTAGTAAACCTTAAGAAAGCAATCCAGATAGGACTGGAATATGAATGGCTGGAGGGTGAGAAAAACTCCAGTAGGATGACTACTCAGTTGTAGCAGAGGGTCAAAAAAGAAAAACAGCTGGGGCAAAGGCTCTCTTTGATATAGCCTCCCAACCAGCAGGATTTCCTGGAAATTAGGACTGGCAGCAAGGATTGATGCAAAAAGAAAGAAAAAAAGATGGCCATGCTGTGACAATTACAAAGCAGTCTATGTGAGACTATAGTACTAGGGGAAAAACACAGGGTTTGTTAACAAGACTCTACAAAGACATTAACAATATGTATTAAATATATCTATGTTGTTTTTGCTATATCTACAGAATTTGGAATTTATCATGGTATCAAGAATTACAGATCGAGAGGGCAAATGAGAGTTGGCTAGAAGAATTATTATATAACACTTATTCTAATCTACACCTTCATCACAGCAACGTACTGTGGTCAATATCCAAATTGGTCTTGGACAAGAAAAATATGTTCAATTAACATGGATAAAATTTTTGGAGGTGTTCTAGTAATCACATTATTTCTAAGAATTTTTTCTTTTTTTATTGCTATGTTTATCATTTTTGAGGTGGCGTCAATCCTTTAATATTGTTGGGTTTATTTATATTTAGTTTAGTTTAGTTTAGTTTAGTTTATTTGATTTGTATACCGCCCTACTCCCGAAGGACTCAGGGCGGTGAACAGCCAAACAATAAAATACATAGATACAAAAAATTTAAAAACCAGATAAAATCGAATTAAACCATTTTGGCCCAGACAAATTAAAACACTCCAATAATTTAAAAGCAGATTAAAATTTACATATTAAAAAGAGGGAAAAGATTAGGCCAAGCCCGCCTGGTGGAATAAAAAGGTCTTCACAGCGCGGCGGAAGGTGCGCAGATCTGGGATCCTCCGTATCTCCGGGGGGAGCTCATTCCAGACTGTAGGTGCCCCCACAGAGAAGGCTCTCCCCCTAGGGGCTGCCAGTCGACATTGTTTGGCTGACAGCACCCGGAGGAGTCCCTCTCTATGAGAGCGTACTGGCCAGTGGGAGGTTGGTAGTAGTAGGCGGTCCCGTAGGTAACCAGGTCCTAAGCCATGGAGCACTCTAAAGGTGGTAACCAAAACCTTGAAGCGCACCCGGAAGACCACCGGGAGCCAGTGCAGCTCGCGCAGGAGAGGTGTTACATGGGAGCACCATGTCGCTCCCATTACCACCCGCATGGCTGCACTCTGCGCCAGTTGGGAGCATCCGGGTGCTCCTCAAGGGGAGCCCCATGTAGAGAGCATTGCAATAGTCCAGGCGGGAGGTGACGAGGGCATCAGTGACTGTGACTGTGCGTAAGGAGTCCCGATCCAGAAAGGGACGCAACTGGCGAATCAGGCGAACCTGATGAAAAATCCTCCCGGTCACGGCCGTCAAATGCTCTTCTAAAGACAGCCGTGAGTCCAGGAGGACACCCAAGTTGCGAGCCCTCTCCGTGGGGGCCAATGATTCGCCCCCAATAATCAGTGATGGCGCCAACTGACTATATCGGGACGTCGGAAACCACAGCCACTCGGTCTTGGATGGATTGAGTCTGAGCCTGTTCCTCCCAATCCAGATCCGTACAGCCTCCAGGCACCGGGACATCACTTCAAGGGCATCGTTAGGGTGATCCGGGGTGGAAATGTACAGCTGGGTGTCATCAGCGTACTGGTGGTACTTCACCCCGAAATCATGGATGATCTCGCCCAGCGGCTTCACATAAATGTTGAACAGGAGAGGCGAGAGGACTGACCCTTGCGGCACCCCACATATGAGGGGCCTTGGGGTCGACCTCTGCCCCCCTGTCAACACAGACTGCGACCGGTCAGAGAGAAAGGAGGAGAACCACCGCAACACAGTGCCTCCCACCCCTAACTCTTCCAACCGGTGCAGCATGATACCATGGTCGATGGTATCAAAAGCCACTGAGAGATCTAACAGGACCAGGACAGAGGAACACCCCCTGTCCCGAGCCCTCCAGAGATCATCTACCAACGCGACCAATGCCGTTTCCGTGCTGTACCCGGGCCTGAAGCCTGACTGGAACGGATCCAGATACGTCGTTTCATCCAGGTGCTGGGGGAACTGTTGCGCAACCACACTCTCAACAACCTTCGCCATAAAACGAAGGTTGGAGACCGGACGATAATTAACCAACATTGCCGGGTCCAGGGAAGGCTTCTTGAGGAGAGGCCTCACCACCGCCTCTTTCAAGGCGGCAGGAAAGTCACCCTCACCCAACGAAGCATTTATAATCCCCTGGAGCCAGCCTCGTGTCACCTCCCAGGAAGCCAGCACTAACTAGGAGGGACACGGGTCCAATAAACAAGTGTCGCGTTCAGTCTATCCAGAATCCTGTCCACGTCCTCAGGGGTCACAGGATCAAACTCATCCCAGATAACATTCTCAAGACCTGCCCCAGTCCCTCCCCCTGAGACTACTCAGTCGGAGTCCAGATCTTCCCGAATCTGAGTGATTTTGTCACACAGATATTGAACAAAATCCTCGGCTCTACCCTCCAAGGGGTCCTCCCGCGCTTCCTGGTGGAGCAGGGAGCAGGTCACCCTAAACAGGGCGGCCAGGCGATTATCTGATGATGCAATAAGAGCAGCGAAATAGCTACATTTTGCTGCTTTTATTGCCACTATTTAATTGGTCAGCTAAGCACAATGAAATACAATACATACTGATAAATGACTGGGAATTGCAACTGGTTTAGAATATTGTTATTAGGCTACTAGTAAATACAAAGTACAGTCTTGGTGTTAGTATGTCAGATTTTAGGCACAATTTAATGTATTGGTACAGACCTCTGAAATCCTAAGTGGCTTAGATCCTCATTGTCTAAGGGAATGCCCATCCCAATAGTATGGATATATTAATCTGCAGGAAGAGCCCTTCTAAAGAGACCCTGCCATCTACAACTCATCTATCTCACAGATGGAAGAAGGTCTTCTCCCGCATTATTCCTGGACTGTGGAATTGCAAACTGCAAACATCTCCATTTTAGAAGATCTGTCAAGGCACATGCCTTTTGCCAGGTTTTTAAAGTTAATTACTATTAGCATTGGGTTTAATTTTTTTTAATTGTTTGCATTTCACATTTTACTGAATATTAGCCACCTGAATAGTACAGCAGAATATAATCATATAAGTAAACAAGCAAATATGATGGAGGAGATGAAGACATACATAGTGCAGATGTGCAGATAAGAAGACCTTAGGAATCCCATTCAATAGAGTTTCCCTGCTGCTGCTTTAAAAATATGTGTAGAATAGTGCAAATAAGAAAATGGTTTAAATTGCAGATAAGTCATATTCATGAATCATCCTGCCAAATCAGCTGCTATTTACCAGATTTTTTTAAAAAGCAGATAGCACTTCCAAAGTTCTTAGAGAAAGAATCTCAGCAACCCGAAGCTTCTGTGCCAGGTATTTTTCACTGCAGTTTCAACATTTATAAACAAAAATAATCTGTTTCTAGTTTTTCTGTGCTAATCCTTTGAGAATACAACCATTGTTGCTTAAGAAACAGGTATTCAATGCTACATTCCACAATGATTACATATTTCTGTCCTGGCCCCAAAAGAAAATATCTGTAAGCTGGTGAGTGGGGTAAAATCCATCGGTTATTGTCACAGCTACTTCCCAATTGACATAATAGGGAAGGATCTGGCAATGGTGTAGAAGCAACTGGCAAACCACCTGCTCTACCAACCCTGCATGCCTTTATAGATAGCACATATACCTGAAAGGGCAGCCAAGATCTAGAGAAGATTATACATTCCACTGTAGAGATGGTGCATACCAAGTATCCAAATAATTTCAGTGCTCCCATTCAGAGCTCACTGAATCAAAGGGAAATCTTTAATAAGCTGACAATGCTGTTCTCACATGAAATGTGGATTTAATCATATTAGCCTGCTATTTTCATAAAAGTCAAAAGGGAAAAAAAACCAATGCATTCTCTTAGAAATATAAAATTAATAAACAATGCTGGTCACATTATTGTTTCGCAAACATATTTATAGAAAAAGCTAAGTAGGCCATACTGGCAGGATTTTAAGAGTTGTAAAGGTAAGTTGTTGGGGTTTTTTTGTAAAAAGTTTTTCTTTATTTTTTACACATACACACACACAAACATACAATGTATTTTTGCTGAACAGAGTATTTGGCCGGTTAACAAATTTAAACAGTTTTTGATCCTTACAACTAAGATTACAATTTCTATACCTCCTTTTTGCCATGGTATTTATTTTCATCTATTTTTTACCAATATTATCCTTCATTTTCATCTCTAATTTTAACCAAATTCCAATTTTCCTTTCTATTCTATATTAAACCCCTTCTCATTGTCATCTATTTTTATATCCATCATCAGAATACTTAATTTTGTGATGTTACAATTGTTCAATTCTTATAGGAATAGTGAACCCACTTGTTTTATAATTTACATTTTCTTAAGTAATACAGTCCAACATTTTAATATAATCAATTACTTATGTAAATATCTTTTCCATTTATATATTCAAACAAGAAAAAAAGAAAATAAACGTGGCTATTCCAATTAGTTCCATTTTCATACATGTATGAAGGTAAGTTTTATGTAACATATTTAACACTCTAATATCCCACATCTTCCAATATGTATTACTATAAACGATGACATCAAAATGTGTGTCCTATACTAAAATATTATAAATCACATGAATAGTTTTATTCCTCATATATAGTATGTTGGAATTTTTAAAAATCCCAAAAAGCTTTTTTTTGCATAACAATTTTAACTTCAACCTTTAAAGTTATTCTTTGTAGTGTTTTTGAAGAAAAAAAGCAGGCTAAAACTATTTTAAATAAGCCTCAAGGTATTTTACTATTTCAGATCCAAACTGAATAAAGGTACTTTTATTAGTTTTAATATCTAATACTATGGTCAAAGGGTTCCATGTTTGAATATTCCCTACATTTAAAAAACTCTACCATGTTAGAAAAAGTACCAGCATGCTTTCTCTGAGACATGGTGCTAGATTAATGGAATTTTCATGGGACATTCCTATATCAAAGCAAAACCCAACACTATTGTTTATGTCAGTAACTTATAGATATGATTCTAAACATGCACATACATCTGAGAGACACCTACCTTTATATTAGTTTCAGGCCATGCTTTAAACAATGTTTCGATATGTCCTCGATCATGGGAAGTGATGAAGAGTCCTCTGTAAGGAAGTAATTCAAACTTTCAATTATTTTTAAAACATGAAGCCTTCCTTCCTTCCTTCCTTCCTTCCTTCCTTTCCTCCTTCCACCTACCTACCTACCTACAATTATATCTTAATTTGACATACAATTTTCAGTATTAATTTAATATATTGCTTAGTGTTTATAGTTTTGTTAGTGATTTGCACTGTATTAACCTATCACATTTAGTTTATAATGCAATGACACTTAAGTTTTGTTTAGAGAAGGTGTATTAAATATTTTACAGTATACCTTGGAAGATACCAGCCTTTTCCTCTATTTAATCACCAATTTTTTTAAAAAAATCTTTCATTTCATCTATTAATTCTTGTTCTTTTTCATTCAGTTTTTCTTTATTTCAAGGACAATGTTCTGTATGCCATGCTAATCACCAAATGAGCCTTTGGCCACTCATGGTTTTGATCAATTAAAGCTTTCATACAATGTTTTTAGTAAGCTAGAGAAGAAATAGACTAGGCTACTAGCTTTAGTTGTATCGGTAGCAACAATATGCACAATATCAGACAGTTCACACATATTTTGAAATGATTCCCACCAGCATAACAAAAGCCCAGTTTACCCAAAGGATGCTCATGCTGTTCTAGGCATGCTAAATTCCCTAATCTAAAGACAAGTTTATGTGGAAACCAACTCTTGCCTAAATCCTATCATGGAGGCTTCTGCAGTGTAGCAACTTACTCAGAATGGATAAGTAGAGGATGATTACAATTGTGAAATGAAGGGATTTTAACATTTTACCTCAAACCTGTTCGTTTAAAAGTCTAAATACCTAAAATGCACCACTTAACACCATCCTCAAGAATTGTCTACTTACATATCAGTGCTGTCAATGTATTTGTGAGCTGAACGGTAAACTACATGCAACGCTATTGAAGTGTATTTATTGTATTTACTGTGGGCAGCTCACAAGAAAGGAGGAGGGGGAATAAATGTAACAAATATATGGCAAGATGACAGAAACTGGACTGGTATGGAAAAAATAAACACACCCACACAGTGCAAAGGAGATTTTATTATCCCTCATTAAAGGCCTGAGATGACAGCTAAGTCTTTAAGCCCCTTCAAAGGGGGGGGGGGGGGGGGGCTATCAGGTTTTCTGGTACAATCTCAGGATTGTACCAGGGGCCAGTCACTACCATAGAGAAGATGTGCTTCCAGGGAACCAATAGATCACATTATTTATCTAAAGAAACCCAAAATGTGCCAACTTTCCTAGATCAAACTGGGCATGACGGAGGATACTATGGGACTAAGGCAGAACCTCAGTTAACCAAGTTCAAATCAGTTAGACTCCATCCTGATTTAATGAACATGAATTCTAGAAAAATCATTTTCCAACATTATAAACTAAGATTAGAAAGACCGGCATGGAAGATTCAATAAATGTTATACATATGCACATAGAGGCAGTTGGGAGCATTTTGTGAGTGTGGAAAATGATACGATTGGTTTAATGGTTCAAAAAAAGCTGTGGCCTAAGTACAGTCACATATTCCAAAGCAGTTCTTTCCAAAAAAAAAAAAAAAAAATTGAACAGCTTTAATTATAATTACCAGTCTTGACATCAGTTTGAATTTTCTGGCTGGCCCTATAATATGATCAACTGCAGAGAGGGAGATGCAAACTACTTTTAGAATCATGCAAGTCAGAAACAGAATCTCCAAACCAAATTTGGCTATCTTTGGGCACTGATGACATATTTAAGATAGTTAAAGTGTATATTCCCATGGTATCCCGTTAAGCTGTTTTCTATAACAGCCTAAAAGTCATAGGACTAAAGATATGTCATTCCTAAATTGTTAGAACATGAGATATTTACAATATGGTTTTAAAAAATTCCTTACATTTTTTTTTAAGGATTAAAGATCAAGCTTGCCGTGACTTTTGGATATTTAACTTAAATTACTAACATTAAATTATTAAGCTTGTCATTTTTAAAAGATGTTGCAAAATATAAAAACAATCTAGGTTGCCCTGTCCTGCTTGGGGTACTTTGTTCAAGGAAAGTCAAATGTAAAATAAATCCTTATAGTAATAGGTACTCTATTTTATGAGAAAAGGGTCAAAATAACATGGATCATTTATCCTGGGAAGAGACTCCAAAGTTAATTATATTGTGCAATTCACAGAGGGATTAAAATACTTTAATCAGGATATTCCATGGATGTTTCATGGAAAAAATATTAATTTGGATACCAACAATAAAAAAATGTAATTTTAAAATAATTCCTTAAAAATGGCTACAAGGTTGCCGATTGAAAAATAGTATTCAATTTTTGCATTCAGAAGATGGAGGATTCAATTTCAGATATATTCAAAAACATTTGAACTAGTAGTACCAAATTATTTCTTGCTTCTATGTTAAGATTGTTCTAATGGAAAAATAAGAACATGACAGAAGAGAAATAAACATATATACATACATACATACATACATACATACATACATACATACATACATACATATGTCTTCTCCAGTTTTCGCGGGTGTGTGTATATAAAAAGTTAAAATTTCGGGTGTTTTCCCGCATCATTAAAAGTCTGTTAGTTAAAATGCTTAAAATCTTAAAATCCTGGCTAAAATCCCAGCTCAAAATCCTCTAAAATACTAACAAAACACTTTGTAAGGTTTTTTAAAACTTTGGCTAAAATCCTAACCAATGCCTAGCAGATGAGGCACATGTACAAACAGAGCTTCAGACTCTCACAGAGGTATTAATGGCAAATGGGTTCCACGAAAATAAAATTAGAAGTATAATTCAGCAACGGACATTAGGACAGAGCGAAACCCAAGAAGAAGAACAGAATATGGGAAAAGCCATCCTGCCCTATATAAAAGGGACCACTGATAAAATTAGTAAAATACTACAGAAACAAAAAATAAAAAGTGTTCCGCACAGATAGAAAAATATCGATGATATTGAGAAACCCCAAGGATAAAATTGAGCTGGAAAATCAAGGGGTATACGAAGTGCCATGTGCCTCCTGTCAGTCATCTTATATTGGACAGACGAACAGACGAATAAGTGTGCGTTTAGAAGAACACAAAAATGCAGTGAAAAAGGAAGAACAAACTTCTTCTTTGGTACAACACATGAAGGCCACCGGACATAATATCGACTTCAACAATACTAGAACAGTGGTGAAAGAGGAACATCTTAATAAGAGAATAATTAGGGAGGCTATCGAAAATGAAAACAGGCCGCAGAATATGAATAGACGAGATGACGCTTCTAGGTTATCAAGTATTTGGAGATCTGCACTGAGGGAAACTCGAGTCTTAACATCAGAGGATAGGCAGAGATCCCAACAGGCAACCAGTGGTGTTGTAATGCCTGCCAGAATCCTTCCCTCTTTGCAGATGATAGCTAGCAATAGGGAGAGGGAGAGAACCGAGCCAGAAGATAGGCTGAGATCTCAACAGGCAACCAGTGGTGTTGTGATACCTACTAGAATCCTTCCCTCTTTGCAGTTGACAGTAATAGAGAACCGGAGAAAGCTGAGCCTTTAACACGCAGTCAGGCTGCAGCTAGGATAATGAAGCAGGAGGAAAAACGGCTGCCCTCCAATCAGGACACAGAGTTGCAGGCTAACCAGCATATGTCAGCAGCAGTGATCAGAGAAAAGAGACAACTCCGACCTCGCAGCATACCCACAGCTTCTAAACTGAAAGTAGGGGCCCGATGATGACAAGTTAAAGACCTTGTCGAAATGTTGCCAAACAAAACCTTTAAAGTGTTGGTTAGGATTTTAGCCAAAGTTTTAAAAGACCTTACAAAGTGTTTTATCAGGATTTTAGAGGATTTTGAGCTGGGATTTTAGCCAGGATTTTAAGATTTTAAGCATTTTAACTAACAGACTTTTAATGACGCGGGAAAACACCCGAGATTTTAACTTTTTACATATTTCTCTTCAGCCAGGTTCTTCCTACGTAAACCAAGATTTTTATGCAGCCCTAGTTCAGTGAAATCACAATCCACTAGTTTCTAGGCTTTTTTTCTGGCAGCCAGCAAACACTCTGCTGCCCATTGGGAGACTACCCAATGCTACCCATTGTTTGCTGGCTGCCAGAAAAAATGCCTAGAAACTAGTAGATTGTGATTTCACTGAACTAGGGCTGCATAAAAATCTTGGTTTACGTAGGAAGAACCTGGCTAAAGAGAAATACACATAAAGCCTACAAAAAAGAAAGAAAACATATATATATACACACACAAAACACACACACACATGTATAACTAAAAGAAATAAATGGTTGTTATTCTGACCTCCAAATTAAACATCAAATTCCACAAGATAATTCCACAAGATTTCTGGAAAATTGTGCAGTATATACATCAAATCTCCACATCTGCTTCTAAGAAGTAATCTGAACCAGAAAAGTCTGTTTCCTACATTGTTTAACATCTACTGTAGATGAAACCATTGGGTGAGGTCATTCATTGATTCAGAGTGATGTGTCATCAATGTGAAAATGATACCGAGTTATATCTCTCTGTCCCTAACCAGGGAGAGGATGTAGCGGAATTTCTGACATGGTGCCTGAAGATATTTAGGTTCTGGGTGGGACTGAACTCTAACCAAATGAAAACGGCTGTGGAGTCAAAAGCCAACTGAGTCTGAAATTAATTCATCTATAGTTCCGGATGAACTCATCCTGCTCTGAACAAATCTGGTTTATAGGGGTGGAAAGGGCTCTTTCATAGCTCCTACTTGAATGTAAATGGAGGTTGTGTTGAAGGGAGCCTTTGCACAGCTAGGTGTGATGTGCCAAACATAGCCACATTCCTGGATTATGAGATCTGTGCATGGTTATTCATGACGGTGTCAGCTCATGGTGGGACTTCTGCAATTTGCTATACATGAAGCTTGCTAGAAGGCCATCCAAGAAGCTTCAGATGGTCCAGCATGCAGCAGTGTAGGTAGATTCCAGATACAGGTAGTCCTCGACTTACGA